AGTGTGTGTGTGTGTGTGTGTGTGTGTGTGTGTGTGTGTGTGTGTGTGTGTGTGTGGGTGGGGGTGGGGGTGTGTGTGTGTGTGTGTGTGTAAACGTTTCAGTCAGAAAAGGCTAATTATCCTATAGACTTCTAGGACCTGGAGGAGACACATCTTATTCATTTAATATACTGCTAGTGGATATATTAACCTATTAAATTATATAATTAAAAGGTTTATATATATGTTGTATTAGCTAATCATCTACATTTTCTAAGTAACTAGTGGAGTAAAAATCACAATATTGGCTTCCTTTATGTAGTGGAGTAGCATTAAATGGAAATATACAGGTAAAATACCTCAAAATCAAACTAAAGTACAGTTTTCGTGTGAGTGTACTTCATAGCATCCTCTGCAGAGTGTGTGTAAAGAGAAGGACATACGATGATAGATTTATTGGCCTTCACATATGCCGGAGCAATCAGGGACTCATAACCTTCGCTCGAATAAAAAACACCAGAGAGAGAAGAGAAGAGAGCAGCTGAGAAAACGTGCAAAGTGTAAAAAGATGAAGGCTGAAGAGTCGGGATAAGTTTAAAGACTGTTCAGGTGTTGGAAAATAGTGTTTTATTTCTGATAAATGTTCTATCGTTGACGTACAAGATGTGAGGATCCACAGTGCGGCCTTCCTCTTTTTCCTCCTCTGTGTTGTTGTCTGTGTGTCTTCCTGGCTGGGTGTGGCTGACCTACATTTGGATTTCCGCCTCCACACCGCTCCAGCTGTTGATCACCTCGCTGATTGCCACTACTCACCTGCCCCCGCTTAAAACCCTGGTTCTCATCCTCAGTCTTCGCCAGTTCTTCGTTTATTCTTCAGGGTAAACTAACGTCCAGGCCTACTTAGCATTTTTTGCCTATTAAAATGTTGATGCTCCTAGTGAGAGGATTTGCCTTCCTAACCCTGCTTCTTTCCGTTTCCAGATCCACACACCTGCCGCTCCGCCTGCCACGTCCAGCCACGTCCAGCCTCGTCCAGCCACGTCCAGCCACGTCCAGCCTCGTCCAGCCACGTCCAGCCACGTCCAGCCTCGTCCAGCCACGTCCAGCCTCGTCCAGCCACGTCCAGCCTCGTCCAGCCTCGTCCAGCCTCGTCCAGCCACGTCCAGCCACGTCCAGCCACGTCCAGCCACGTCCAGCCACGTCCTGCCACGTCCTGCCACGTCCTGCCACGTCCTGCCACGTCCAGCCACGTCCTGCCACGTCCTGCCACGTCCAGCCACGTCCAGCCACGTCCAGCCACCTCCCTGCTCTGTCCTGCTCCTCTTCTCCCCTCTCTGAGCTCCTCGTCCTGGTCTGAATCTCGGTTCCAGGATTCTCCTTCAGCGTCCTCTCCAACTCCTAGACTCTGCCTTGATCTAAAATAAAGCCCATTTTGACACTTCACCACTGTTTCAGTCTTAGTGCTTGCATAGCGGGTTCTCGCCTCCAGTCACTCCACGTGAAGCCTAACACAAGAAGACACAAGAAGTGAAGTTTGGATTAAAGGAAATGAGAAAACAAGGTTTTCAGGGGAAAGGGAATGAGCATGATTTAATGTGGCTCGTCTTTATGAGGTTGTAAGTCTTGTTTTTTTTTTTTTATGAAAGTGATTTTAAGTTTATAGCTTCCTCTGTCCCTCTCTTCCTTTCTTCTCCTTCCATCTCCACCAGTAAATTCAACTGTGAAATATCTCGAGAAGATATAAAAAGAAAAAATACTGTGTGTCCTTCCACATTCAATATTTCACATGTCATTTCGTTTTTTTATATATTTATATATATATTGGAGAAGCAAATATTTCAGTGCTTGTCCCTGAGACATTTCTCGATGTGACCTCCAGAGCAACTTAAATGTCCTCCGATGAATATTAACAACGACATTGAGTTCAGAAGAATTCACGCTTTCTTTGTCACGTTATTTTAGAAATGTGATTAATGAAGGATCTGTGGTTTGAAGCCCAGATAAAAGGTACAACCGTTCTAAAAGATCAGAGCTAAATGTGTTGAAGTAAACTGAAGAAACACGAGCTAAACATTGGTGTATGTTTAGTGTTACTATCCCAAACATCACATCCAATTCGTACGTAACTAAAACGTTTCAATGCCAACTTGTTCTACTTCTGCAGACGACAACGAGACTGTGTGAAGACGCCAAACGATCGTATCTCAAGATCAGCGTATAGAAAAGATAAATAGTGCTGAGAAATAACTCAAAGAAACCAATAAAGCATTAAGACAAGACATTGAAGACTGAGAAGAGTTGGGAAACACTAGAATAAACTCTCAAAAGTTAGACCGGACATTGTGTTAGCGACCTGTCAATCAAAAGGTAGCCCCGCCCCCAAAACATTCCTTTCTTTATTGTTTATTTCACTCTGAATAGGACCATGTTTAACGAAACAAATATCATGCTGTATTGAAAAAGAGTTGAAACTACATATGAAGTCCATTAACTCAGCGGGAAAATGTTTACCTAAGTTATAAATCCAATGAGAAGTAGGGTAACTTTCTCTTAGACTTCTATACAATGGGACCAGCAGAGTCACCATATCATATGTGAAATGCATACTGTGTTACGATTAATTATTGTTATTCCTGGCTGCTACCTTTAAGTTTTTACATATTCATCATCCGGCTGTGTGACAGATTAAGGATGTATGATTCTGATTGGAGGGAATGAGATAATTAGTAGGCTAAGCTAACAACAATCCACTACACACTTTTTACTGTTGTTATCATACTTGTCAACCCTCCCGATTTTCGCGGGAGACTCCCGATTTCATTGCCCTCTCCCGGTTTCCTCCCGGGGTCATATTTCTCCCGCATTTCTCCCGATTTCTGACAAAATCAGATTTACTCAGGACTGTTTCCACTCGGACTTTAATACAGCTACACCATTGTTTGGTTTCCATGGTAACACGTCTCTTTAGTAGCGCGCAACTGAAAGTCTGAGAGGGTGAGGCTGATAGTCACAGAAAACAGAACAAGAATCAACAACTACTCTACTCTCTGACTGCGGTCAAGCCAGCCTCCACTCGGGAAAACCTAGTCAAGCCAGCCCGCACGTGATATTGCGGTGCGCGAATATCCTATGCATTACGGTAGAGTCAAAACAAATCATCCCTCTGTGTTTAGATGAGAATAAAACACAAATCCTATAGTATCAAAGACTAATTTCACTTCAGGGTGATAGCAGGACATCCCATCTAGTCACTCAGAAAAAATCAGGACATTCTGATGTAGAGTTTCAAAATAAAAGACCTTTGAAGTCTCATATGAGCTGAGGCCGCAAGGCATTGCACTTAGAACTACAATAAGCATGTTAATGTTAATCTAACAGCTCCGGCGATCCACTAGCACCCCCCCCCCCCCATTTTGCAAATGCTCCCGATTTCTGTGGTCCCAAGGTTGGCAAGTATGGCTGTTATGTATATATTTACTGTGTATTTTGCGTTAGTCATGCTGCCGATGTAACACAAGTATGTTCAAATTAATTAAATGATTCTAAGTTGTTAGTCCAGTGAGGTAAGAAGCAGGTAAAAACCAAGGTTACATGCGTGTTTCCATAATGATCAGCAATTAAATAGTGTGGTGTTCAGTTACATAAAAACAATCTGATGAAGTTAATATTATTCCTCCCACAAACAACAACATTTACTGAGGCAAAATACAAATAATATCCTTTACAAAATGTAAAGTTGGCTAATCCTTTCCACCAGTTCAGGCAGTTCTTCTCATTTGTTGGGGTGCAATTTCACAGTTTGGTCGAATGTTTTCATAAAGGTCTGGGGGTAGAAATAGGATGAGGAAGGAGGTACGGTAAGGACAGAGGGTTCCTATGTGTTTGTTTATGTGAATTGCGAGGTAGGAGAGTCTCTAATTGGTGGAGGTATTTTTGCTCCAGGGCAGTAATGGCCTTTTTGGAGCTTTTGTTTCTGTTTTTGCCTCCCTCTTGTCTTAGTCTCCCACTTTCCTTCTGTCTCTCTCGCCTCTCATTGTCTCTATCTGTCACCCTTGTTATCTGTTTTCTTCTCAGAATATTAAATGGCCTTGTCAGCAGGGAACGCACACTTGCGTGACTCCGTGTGTGCGTGTGTGTGTGTGTGGTTCAAGATTCAGGGTTGCTTTATTTGTCCCAATTACAGAAACAATTATAGTGCAGTGACCGACGTTCACAGCGCATTCACAGATTTAATGAATTAACACTAAGTGTAGACATAAAATGCGCTCTCACTTCACACTATCCTTATTTCCTCAGTTGTTAAGATCCACTGAATGGAAGCAGTTTGAAAGCAGGATAGGGAGGCAGAGATAATTTTACAAGCCTGTTTAATAGGACTCTTGTCAAAACTGTGTGTTTTTAAAGTGTGTGTGTGCTCTTCTTACTGTGTGTTGCATCGCACATCAGTCGTTAGATGATGTGCCCATGAAACAAGCAGAGGGATTAAACTTACAGGAGGACGGCTTCATTAACTGTGTATAGTTAAATGTTAATGGGCGTGCTGCTGCCTTTGAGCACAAAAGGAGGAAGGTATAATAGAGCAGGAGAGGGATGAGGAGAGGGGAAGGCTCACCGTTTTTACCTTATTTATGCAAAGGAAGCCCGGCTGATGGAGGTCTTTTTCAGCAACCTTCGATTTCAAACTCATTCACGTGTTTAGAACTGGGAGCTGCCCCAAGTCTGCTGCTGCAGGCAGCCCCCACTGCCTAGAGGCATGTTAGTGGTGGTGAGAGGGAAGGCATTGCAGTATTTTATTCACTTGTCCCAACTTTTAATTTTCTCTCCTTGACAGGATATTCCCACAAACTCACTTTCAGGTCACGGGCTTCCTCTAAAATGTCTGCTATCAAGCCAAGTCCAAGTGGTCACGCTGGTAGCTTTCTCACCTTCAACGCCACATTCAACAGTATTAAACAACATTCATTTTCACCTCTGTAACATTTACTGGACTTTCGGCTAACTTTACAGGATAATGGTGTAGAGAAAGCCTGTAAGCAAACTTAATCAGACATTTCAGTGCAGAATCTAGTATCCTTAAAATGATGTTCCTAGGTCAATAAGGAATTATTTTGACTCAGGTTGATAAAAAATAGAAGAATAGTATTGCAGTTACATTTCTAATCATGTTATGGATACATTATAAGATCTGGATCTCAGACCCAAATATGGCATATTTAGCCCAATGAGAATTGCTTTCCTGGTGCAAATGCCAAAAGTTACTATCTTCCCACTCAGCTAGCTGGTTATCTGGCCCACTCATTATGCACAGTAGTGTTTCTCCTGCTTGCCTCGCCCCCAATTTCACACAATCAATACATTGCACTGACATCACATATTTTTGAAATCACTCAAAGAAAGATCTGCAAATATCAAACCTCAATGGATCATCCAAAAACTATAATAGATAAGAGTCATATTTGACCATGTCAATATATTTAATTTGACAAACCTCAAAATTGCACTAAGCACACAGTACAGCTGAGGCTGAATATGTTTTGTGGATAGACATCCTGGTTATAAACTAAAGTAGTGGATCTTTAAAAGGTGGTACTTCACCAAAGTCATTATAGCTCATCCTTTGGGGATTACATTTCCTCGCACCATATCCTATGCATTTTCATATTGTGGGCATCCTAGACAATTTGCTAGCTACGGGGACCATTTTGTAACTTGTTGGAGGTTAGAATGTGTGTGTAGGTGGAGGAAGATGGTCTGAAGAAGGATATGTTGCAGTCAAAGTGTCAGCTGTGTGTGTTTGGGGAGAGAACTTTCTCTAACCTACAAGTCTGGCGTGAGGAGGCCTGCAGGCTAAGAAAAACAACTGAGGGTGATGTGGGGTTAAGACAGGTTTTTTCTTGTCTGTGTGTTTGCTGCCTTGTGTGTGTGTGTGTGTGTGTGTGTGTGTGTGTGTGTGTGTGTGTGTGTGTGTGTGTGTGTGTGTGTGTGTGTGTGTTAAAAGGCCACACATCAGGCAGCATGGCTAGTAACGTTGCCTTGGAGATTGACAGGCTTTATCGTGTGTTGGTGAGCTCCCATCCACCACTTGTCCACCATGTGACATGGCCTGTCACACCACTTTGTCACAGTGGGAGAGTGTTCGTAACGCACGTGCACGCACCAACACACACATACACACACTCCATTTCAAGGTTTTAGATCAGGGTGTGAGAGAGGGGGGATAAAGACGCAGAAAGACAGATAAAGAGAGAAATAGATTTCTCATTCACTGGGGAGAAAACTGAAGTGTTGTTCACGGATTCGAGGGCCATTTATAAGAAATAGCCACATCAAAAATGAGCTGTTTTCTATTCATGAACTGAGCTCCCAATGTGAAGGGCAGACAAAAAAGTGCACAGCTGCTTACTGACATGCAGGGATTCTTAACACAAACACACACACACACACACACCAAAAATAATAATAATCAGCGAGCCCTGCCTCTCCCTCCATGCTCTCTGTTCTGTGTTCTTGCCAAAAGTCAATCATGACTGCCGCTGGAGAAGCTTGTTGTATGTGTACATCTTAATGCTTCTGACAGCATAGTATTTTCATCCAAAAGAGCAACCCACCAAAAGTAAAGTGTTAACAACACCGTTGTGCTTGTAAACTGCTCTGTTTTAATGCCAAATAAATGCAGCACATCTCAAAAGAGTACTTATTTCAAAAGACTCACTTCTTAAAATGGGCTTTATGCTAAAGGGAAACAAAGTCACTATTTGAAATGGGTAGAATCGTTTTCTGGCAGTAGACTAAGGGAGATTAAATGCAAAGTCATGATTTTCAATGGAGGAAAAATGAAGAGTTTTCTAACACAACAAACTGCCTGCTTCAGAGGCCTGTACTACGAAGCAGGATTTTCACTTAGCGGGCTAACTTCAGGGAAAACTGGCTTTCCGGTCCTACGACGCTGGTTCTCTTTTTAGCAGGCTAGATCTCCATGGTAGTTACCATGGAGATCTAGCCTGCTAAAAAGAGAACCAGCGTCGTAGGACCGGAAAGCCAGTTTTCCCTGAAGTTAGCCCGCTAAGTGAAAATCCTGCTTCGTANAAAAGGGGCTGCAACGGATCTGATACAGACTGATCCAGATTTGAACACTTCTATGACGTCACAGAAGTGGCGCTACGGCTATTGGGCCAACTCCACCAATCAGGAGGAGACAGCCACGGACATTGCCGTTCGAAAGCGCTGGAGACGCTGTAGTACATATGCCAGGCCTGTAGATGGTGCTGTTCCCACAGAATCAGCCCATGCAAAGACAGTGTTCAATTGAGCGAAATGAGGAATGGCTAAAATGCATGATCTGTTTGGTATTTTGAAAAATAAAAAGTATAAATATGCCTTATATAGGTATGGCCCTACACTATATTATTCAAATATAGCATGATAGGTTCACTTTAATAATTTGATTATTTTAATGTCATGTCAAAACGTTTTCTAGGAAAGTCCATGATACTTTAAGTGATGTACACTTTCTATTATAATGCTATAAATTCTCACTAGTTTTTTTTTTTACTATATAAATTCACATTGTGCAAAGTCACATCAACTTCTTTGGATGAAGATATAAAACAACAGGTAAACTTCCTCAGTTTCCATTATAAATCATAAAATAACTGCCACTATGGATATTGCTAGATGCTTTTTTGTTGATCTTGAACATATTGATGGTCGGTTACTGCATTAAGGATACCAAAATGGCTACAGGACACAAGTAGATTTACCCCTGCGATAGATATTTACAAGACAATGCAAAACTAGATCTATTTATTTTAAGATTTAAAAAATGTCCTCCATCTCTCTTCCAGGGCCCTGTAGTAATTCCAAACTCAACAGAAGCAGCTCACACCATGCTCTACCTGTGGGCCAAGTCTCTCATTAAAACCTTTAATGTCCTCCTCTTTATCCTCTATATCTTCATCCTCTTCCTCAATGAACAACTCAAATCCCATTCCTGTCATCGATGGTGGGCTTTCAGACTCGCATCGTTGTTCAATCAGAGTTTCTGACTGCTCTCCCCAAGCCATGGGAAGTGATTCCATAGTCAGAGGCTTGTGAAGCTGCTCGTCTAACCTATCGCTGCCTATCAGGTCGCTGGATGGAGATAGTGCTCGTGGTTTTACTTTTGGCTGATCGGATTCTTCTGCTTTAGATTTAAATCTGCCCTGGGTTTCATTGGTTAGCGAGGTTAGTGGGAAATCTATCGGAGACAATCTTGAAAAGTCGGGAACTTCTGCAGTGGTAGAATCATCCATAATCATAGACAAAAGGTCGTCGTAAGGGTCTTTCACTTGCAGTTCAGCCATTATGCTGCTTTTGTTAACTTTCACAGTTGGTGTAGGTGACTTTATTGGTTCTGGCACTGTGCAGGAAAACACCTCTGGCTTAGAGACTTGTGATCGTCGAGCTATTCCTTTGCCACTGTTGTATCGCACTGAAGGCTCAGGCAGTGGAGGTGAAAATGAGGAATAAGGAAGGGGAGGAGGAGGAGGAGGCGGAGGAAGAGGAGGAGGCGGTGGGGAGAAAGGCAGGGTTGGTGAGCTGTGACCTAAACTAAGTCTCCCGTCTCTGAAAGGAGAATTTAAGGAAGACCTCGGGGGCGGCAGGGCGAAGCCTCTCTGTGGTTGTGCAGGTGATGGTGCCATAAAATCCTGAGCCTTATGGAAAGGTGTCAGGTCAGAGGGGAGAGGTGGGGGTGTGGGCGGTGTGGGGGTGGTAGTGACGGAGCGAGATGGAGAGGAGGCAGAAGGCTCCAGTGTGAGGGCCAGCCACTCTTCGGTGATAGTTTGCAGGTCAGGCCTTCTCAACGGGGGGTGAGGGGAGGGGAGGTCACGAGGAGTGGGGGGCGGAGGTAGATGGTAGAAAGGCTTCATGAAGGTGAAGTGAAAAAGAAGGAACAATGTAATTCCAACAATGTAACAGAGAGTGCAGTGTGTGGTGTGTGTTTAGAGCTCTACATACTCCTCTATGCAGAGGATGTTTTTACCCATTTCTTTAAATATATTGGGATTTCTTTTGGCGACAATTGTTATGTTGGAAAGTAACCAACACTGTTGTTCACAAATAAACATATGCACATTTTAAATAAACCAACTCATTACTGTATAAAGTAGCTGTGAATGCTATATTCTAACCAGTAAATAAAGAACAAATTGATGTTTTTGAATTTTGTAACTCTATTGTATAGGTGTCGACCATCTTGTTGTCACCTTGTTGTAGTGATTCTCCTACCTTGGTAGGTGTAGAGCTGGGTGTCCTGTTGCCAGGGTAACCATGTGGGTCTATGTGGTGGGCGGAGCTCTTGGACGGGGAGCGCTTGATGATGTTAACATACGACACAGGAAAGATGCCCTGTTTGGTTGTGTCTGGGATCCTCCCCTCGTACCAGTTCCCGTCCACCTGCCTTATCACAATTACTCTCTCACCCTACACACACACACACAAAATAAAAATGTGATGTTTAACCACAACTCAAAGGTTTAGCGCCACCTTGTAGGACTTCTGTTAATCACATGTATTGCTATTTATCAATGTATCCTTTATTATAACAATATAACAGACACAATTTATATAAATTGTACACACAGTAGCTTTAACATATCTCCATTATAGCCCCAGAGCCTCTTTCAAAAGCAATAGATGTTAACTACCCTGCAAATTAAAAAAATCACAACTAGGGACGAGCAATAGTGACAATTAGCAATAGCTATTAGTTTTCTGTGCAGTACACAAATATAATGCTTGGTGTTGGTTGGAACCATGTTAAATTGCATATTGCTATTGCATAAAAATGCATTTGAGTTAAAACAGTAGCGGAAACCGAGTGAATTCATCTGGATTATTGACTTCATGCTGTTTTATTTGAAAAATGTGTATCTTTCTTAATTTTAAACAATCACTACCACCGGATGATGAACTCAAAAAAGTATTGTTTCTAAAAAAAAATGCAAGGTTTCCAATCATTACTATTGATTATAACAAGCCCTGTTACATTGGTGCAGCTTCTAATAAACAATAAACAGGCCACCTTTCTGAGAGACATCTCCACGTTAGTATCAGCATTAAAGTTGTAGCGAGCTATTGCCTCTCCGATCTCTCTGACGTGTGCTGGTGGAGGAGGACGGATCGGCTGCTGCTTCTCTGAGGATGGCATCTTCTGTTTATGCGTGGACAATAGTGTGAAAAGAAAAGACAAACCATCGAGACAAATGACATATAAGACACAAGATGATGCACCTGTAGTCACAGTTATACAGGTGTTCAGTTTAATAGTTGCAGACTTACTTCTACATATGATATGGGTAATATCCCAACCCGACCGCGGTGCTCTCCTTCATACCAGTTGTTGTCAATCTGTCGGATGATGTTCACTGCATCGCCCTTCTTAAATGTCAGCTCCCTGCAACACATTCATGTCATCAAAGTGCCAACACAGAGGTGTGAGAAGACATAAACTCACAACTTCAACCAGCAAAGAAACACCCGTCACAAAACGTTAGCCAGTGAAGCACGATGGAAGAAGATCAAATGCAGCCCAAATTAGTTTTATTCATGCATATATTTAAAGCATAAGATGAATTAGTTAAAGCCATCCAAGTCTGGTGGTAAGATGTGTTCTTAAAAGGCAAAACATCTTACAAAGCAATCTCAAATCCTAACATTGAATGCAATGTCTCGAAATGTGTTGGTATGTAGTTAGGCGTTCATGCTTAAAAGCTTGGCTCCCTTTGCGCGTGCACTGTGCATTTCCTGTACTCACTTAGCTGTTTGTGCCTTAAAATCATAAATGGCTCTTGCAGGCTGTTTCTGATGGAGGAGAGAGAACAGAATAAGTTGTGTCATCTGTTTATGGGAGACCTAGGAGATGAAAGTGAGAGAAAGAAAGCAGGCAAGCAAAACATAAAAAACTGCTTTACAATCTCTGTGAGAATCATCAAAATGTGTGGCATTGTGATCCTTAAGACAAAAAAACGCAATACTTATTTGTATTAATCGATTCTCTTAATGAAGTGAACGTTAGTGTTATGAGTACAATGTTGTACCTCTCTATCAGGAGTAGGTCTTCTACTCTGGGGTGTGTGGCGTCCATCCATGGTAGAATAACACCGGGATACATCCTGGTCTGTGATTAGCAAACACATGTGAGAAAGGTCATGGGAGTAACCATACTAACCACAATTATGTCACATTTTCATAATACAAAAAAGTGCTGTGGCAAAGGATGATGACGACGCCATTCCTACAGGTGAATGAGGGATGAAAGTTTAGGGTCAAAAGGTGTTTTATTTCCAGTTATTTGGAAACAACCCGGAATATGACTCATGCATCAAAAATAGCTGAAACACATGATAAAACAGGCCAAAAAAGACCATTTACAAACATAAACATATAACCAAATGGTTTAAAGGAAAGAACGATTGTTGGATAATCAGACAAACCATAAATAAACTGCAAAAAAGACAAATTATAAAAAGAAAAAAAAATAACATTATAAACAGAGAAATAATAACTTACTCCAACCAGAGTAATATGCTGTTAATTCTCAAACAATAAGTATATCAAATTTAAGAAGCTATACTGCTTTTATTTACAGATCTGATACTCTAAATGTCTCTTTCTTTCAGACATGTTAGTACCCTTCAAGAGTTCATTCCAATTGTTCCTACATTACATGTTTTTCTCGGCATTAGCTACGGTCATTCAAATATTTATATACTTCATGCTTCCATTTGAGATGCAGAACTTTCATCAGGGGGGAAGTGTTTGGTTTCACAGACATTTTCTTAAAACAGAAAACAATATTTTTTTAACACTGGGTTTACTTTGAGAATTCACAGCATTCAGGTCTTACTGAATGACATAAAGAAAGAAAGAAAACAAAAGTACCGGATGTATAAACTGACCAATGAATGAAATAGGGCAACAAGCCCATGCAATACTTACAGTGACATTGAGGTAAATGTATGGGGATGCATATTTGGTACATACTGTATATATATATTCATATATAAATATGTTTGTGCAAATAAAAAACATGCAGAGATAACTGGCTAAATGACAAAGTGTACACGTGCAAACATTTGTTAAATGTGTAAAATCTGCACCTGAATAACTGAGACCATTTCCATTGCCCTGCTCCTCTTCATACTCATTATTGTTTGAGGCGTCGTAACAGGCATTGATTGGTGACTGTAGCCGCGGTGTGGAGGGATCCTCTCTTTGTGAGGAGGACCCAGTGGGGCTCCCATCTGGGTACAAAGATGTAGAGGACTGACCCCCCTGCCAACAGCCCCTCCTCCCCCGCAATGAAGAGCTTCGTTCAGGCACATTTGGCAGGAGTTCTGACAGTATTCTCCTCAGGATGCTGTCATCAGGTGCTCTGTTTCCTCTGTGGCCTCTCTCTGCTTGGATGTGCTCATATATGTCTCTCAAGGCTGCATCCAGTGCTTCATAAATGTCCTGTTTGGACTTGGTTCTGCTACCTCGATCGCCACCACTGCTTCTTCTAGAGGTAGGTGGTGAGCCCTTTTTCCTGCGGAAAGGCACTGGGCTGACCAGGAAGGCCAGCTTGGACATCGCTTGCTGGGACTGTGCACTCCGGATTTGGGAATGGCTGCTGCGGCTCGGCTGTGAAGGTCTCTGGTGCTCCTGGCGCGCTCGTTCTCTCTCATGTTTCAGCATTGTTGTGAAACGGGTGTAAGAGGCCGGACAGCGGCCTTTGCAGGAGCTGATGAGGTGGCGGTGTTGGTAGCCCTGGCTCTGGCCTAGACTCTGGTGTCCAGGCTGGTGATGGTGGTGGTGATGACGGAGGTGGTGGTGGTGAAGGTTAGAAGAGCCGTACAAGCTCTCAGAAGAGGTTAGTGAGCAATGGTCAAAGTCACTTTCACTGCAGAATGAGGAGCCCTCCACTTGAATGAAGTCACTGAGGTCTGACGCAATAGCGTCCTGTTCGCTGTCAGAGTAGTCTGGGTTGGCTTGTGGGCCTTTGGGAACAGGAGGAGCAGGAAAGGACCGCCCACGGCCGGGCTCTGGCCCAATACGAGGCTGGCCCTCAGGGGGGCTGCGGGGTCGATGCAGGTGGTCCATGCTGTGAGGTACTGTTCCACCATTGCCGTTGTTGTCTTCCTCGAGTAAAGATTCTATGGAAAAACGGCGTTTAGGAAAACTAGGTGTACCACCGCCACCACTGCTGGCTCGAGAAGACGAGCCACCTGGCGTGGTAGTGCCAGAAGGCAACTCACCGTCCAAGTTGGGCATGGATTTGGACTTCTGAATAAGGCTCTCAAATGTAGAAATGTGACTTGGCACCGTATCGGGTTGCACCTCCATGCCCCAGGTGGGGGTCAACGGAGAGAGGCGATGGAGATGAAGGTGAGGTTGGCTCTCTAGTTCCAGGATGCGAGCACGGACTGAGCGGATGACTTCAGATGGGATGAGCTGAGTGCGGTCGATATGGTGCATCTTACGATAGAGCTTGAGAAAGCCCGGTGAATCGTGTGCCCGGCGCCGATGGAGGCGAGGCAATGAGTGAGTGGAGATGGATCCAGTGGAACCTGAGGGATTCCCATCACAAACCAGTGACCCAGCACTTTCTGAGCGGGTGGCTCGCCCACCGCCAGAATGCCCATCGTTGAGTAGGTCGTCACAGCTACGTGACTTAATCTTGCCAGGGATGGGCGGGACCTCGTCAGCACTGCTGCAAGTCTCAGTATCCTCGCATTTTGTCTCCCAACTGTTCTTACAAAAGACAGACTGCTTAGAGGAGGTGCTGCCTTCCTGGCTGGCATCCTCAGCGTCAGGGTCAGAGGGGACAGGGGGAAGAAAGGTTGGTTGATAAGGACCTGGGGAGGTCAAACTTTTTGGATACATGTTGCATGCGTCCCCACCTTTCAGATGTCCAACAGAGAGCAGCATTGTGAAAGAGAAGAAGGAGGAAAGTATTTTTAGCAATAATACCCAGCAAAAAAAGATTGAAGAGCTGGGGAGAGGGAGAAGAACTAGGAAAGAAATGAGGAAAAGATGATTTGAGGTTGTTTGCTTCTGACTTCAACCAATACTTATCAAGGAAACTTATGAGGACACCAGACAGACGTTGTAAAGCAAAAAAACACGAGGACAAAAAGTGCTTTGATTTATTGGCAACATGGTTAGTACACATATTTTAGTCCGGGGAAGAGAAGGGAAAATACACATTCATAAAGAAAAAACAATCAAGTGAAATTGAAATGTTTGCGTTTAAATGTCTGTACCTTTGGCTCTGGCGGGTGAGGCTGGTGAGGAACGAACCACAGGCTTCTTTAGGCTGCTGCTCGGTCTGTAGGCGTCCACTGGTTTAGGGGAAGTCACAGCTCTGTTGTGAGACTGGGCATTCACTTGGGAACTGGACGGCTCAGACTTCCTTCTCTTCCTGTAGTCGCTGGCAGCACTGCAACACAGTCAGACATCAATGAAAACCACTTTCAAATCTCTTTACAGTGCTGTACGCCGTTTGCAGGAGGAAAATGTGTATAGTCAGTATACTCAAACCACTTCTGGACCAACATATAACAATACATGAGTAATAGCAAGCTTCTAAGCCGATACATTTTAGGAATTTATACCGAAATATATAGCGAAGGTCATCCCACTTAAAAGGTTCACTAACATTGTGTGCCTATTAAGCTGAGAAGCACATGCCATCTAACTGCAGCGTTCCGGTTTTGATTCCTGCCTTGGGACCTTTGTTGCATGTCAGCCCCCCACCCCCTCCTTTCTCTCTCTACCTCACTTCTATGCTGTCCTCTGCAAGGATAGATAAAAGGAAAACAGACCACAGGAAAAAAAAAATCTACATTTTCTTAAGGAATGACTTCCGTTATTTAAAATGTCTTAAAACCCAATGGGTTTTATGTTCAGAACAAACACACCCAATGCCACTGACATGAATTACATGGTCTATTCATCTCATCCCATTTATGCCCTTCCTATTCACCAAGGAAAATGCGACTGAATAAGCAGGCCATTGGTGAAAGGGAATAGGACGAAGGGAGGGACGAGGGGGGGTTGAGGGAAGGATAAGAGGTGAAGGACGGAATCAATAGGTTTGCTGGGTTAATTTAATCTGGCTCAGATTGTGAAAGGGATATGCTAATTGCCCTGCTTCAGTGGCAAACACAAATAAAGAGTAACACTAATCCTTGCAAAATCATCATAAATAGCAGACGGAAAGGCTACATGCACCAGAGTCATAGCAAGAAAGAGCAGTTTTGATTCCTTGCTGTATCACAACAAGGACCGGTCCTGTAGAGAGGATGGGGGAGGGGGAAGGGGTGATGCAGAGGAAAATAAAAGAAACAGAGGTTACCTCGCAGGTCTCTCTGGAGCCTTGTCAGCAGGAGGAATATGCAGGGATGTCTGAAATAGGGCAGACAACAAAAGAGAATAGTGAGGTCCGCAGGAACAAAGACTCGAGGCAGAACACCTCACAATGCACAGCCTGCATGCGGTTGATGCTGTGCCACACTTAAAACTCTCCCCCAGCATAAGGTGCGATGGAAGCTGGTTCCACATGGCACACCTGAGCAAAAAGAGGCCTACCGGTGTAAGCGGTGAAGATACAATTCTGCCTCCTCTTGGGCTGCTCTGAAGGAGAATGGCATAGGTAATACAGCAAAGGATGTTATGAGCTGAGCTCAGGGGGCAAATGATGTCCTGCAAAATCTGGCATGGATCAGGTGGAATGGGTCTAGTGGTAAAGAATAGTCGGTTCTCTTAAACGGCAATGCTCTCTCTGAGGACTATCAAATGCCATTACAAAAACATCAAAAAAGATTTCAAGTGAATTATGTTTTGAGGTAAAAAAAAGAAAGAAAAAAAAGAAATCTAGAGCTTCATTAAGGCTGCCAAGGAATACGATGTTAGCATACATACAAATAGCTTCAAAGCTATATGTTCAACATTCTTTACAAAGCAACAATATACTCATATTCTGCTTGAAACTGAATTGTTGATTAATTAAATTATACACGTTTAACCAATACTTAATTGTCTTCAACAAAATATAATGAGTTAGATTTCTCTGATTTATTATAAATTGTGAGATTTACAACACTACTAGAATACTCATGAATGTGAGATTACCTCAATGCGTTGGCGAGCGGAGATGTCTGGATTATAATCCAGCCTTTTTTTAGGAGGCTTGAGCCACAAGCAGCAGCAGTGAGGAGGAGGAGGATGAATAGGAAGAAGGTGAAAATGAGGTGAAGGAGGAGAAGCAGGTGTGGCATCATGGGGAGAAACCAATTAACGAGAAACATGTGGAGAGAGTGACACCTGTTAGAGAATCTGAGTAATAAGGACTACACACACACACACACACACACACACACACACACACACACACACACACACACACACACACACACACACACACACACACACACACACACACACACACACACACACACACACACACACACACACACACACACACACACACACACACACACAGATTATAAAATCCTCTATTGATGCTTTATTCGTTTGCTTATCTCAAAATAGCAACATAAAGACAACAGTATGTTTATGCTAAAATAAATAAGGCCTACTACATCAACTTCTATAACACAAACACGCAAACAAATGTGCCCACGTTCCAAACACACATGCAGTGTGAGAGCAAGCTGTAAAGCAGAAAGCCAAGTGAAGCTCAAGCTGCAGTGTTGTGTTTATTTCTAATGCTGTGATTTAGTGCAGGTTTAATAGCGCATATAAACTCAGTCCATCAAAACTTCTTGTGACATGTCAACGAAATAAAAACTCAAATACTAAACATACAGTGAGATTCGGTCCCAGCTGGACCAGCAAGTGCATGTAGAAGCCATTTAAACTCTAAGGGCTTATTCAGTGGTGTGAAACAGTGAAATGATTGCAGGTTAAACATGTCAACACACGCTCCAACATGACTCTGTAGAGTCATGCTAGCTCCAGATGTGACATTTTTAGCTGAACATTTCGAATAAGCCCAAAAAACCATCACCTGATGTCATGCTCTGGCATGGATAGAGGCATGACACTTTGTAAATCAGTCAGGTTGGGGTGATTTGATCCCAGATCTGTGGTTAGAGGCAATGCCTGCCCTGAGCCACTAGTTGTTATTACTAGCTACATCCAGAAGAGGGCACTACAGCCTTTAGCTTGTAGATATATGCAGAGCGTTGCTCCAGCAAAAGTGAAGATAAACGGAACTACTAGCAGAAATGAATAAATGGGCTGAATAGAAAAAGATGATTAACATATGTAGAAAAATCCTAAAGTTTATCATTAGAAAAATGATGTTTTGCATATATCAATGCTATGATAGACAGATTGACTGACTGTTCTGTGCAGTTCAACCAGCAATAAGTCAGGTCATCTAAAGGATATGGAGCACACATTTTGACCTATTTTCCTTCCTAGCAACACAGGACTGGAAATAATTTGCCAGGTGTGTTTGTGTGTGTGTGTGTGTGTGTGTGTGAACACTTCAGTGCCTGCTAGCCACCAGACCAAAAAACCCAGCAACGCAGAGACATAACACAGCCTGTCACAAGGGTGGGGGGAGGGGGGTCACAGCACCCAACAAGTACCACATGCCCAAACAACTAGCTCCACCCATTCTACCTGTAGACAAAACAAAAAACATGGGTGGAGTGGAGAAAGTGGGTGTTTGCCTATGGCAGGGTTGCGGGAGCAGCTACGGCCCTGACTTACCGGCCGCCCAAACTCCAGCTCGGAAAAGAACTTATACCAAGGCTCGTTCTCTAAATCTATGTCATCATAGTTCTGGGAGAGCATGACAGGGACAGAGAGAGGAGGGAGAAGAAAGACAGGAAGGATAGTGTGGAAAGAAGTCACATAGAGAGAGAGAGAAAGACATGGACCTCATGGTTAGGAATTAGCGTAGGTGGCACAGGGAGATGGGCACAGGATGAAGATGTAGACTGGCTCATGGGGAAGAATGCAGTGATGCAAAACACAATTCACTCCTGACAGATCCGGCAGAAAATGTTTCGCTTCACTACTTGACAGTAATTCCAAAATGCTAGGGAATCCAAACGGTTCCTTAGGCAGTTTAGACTAGTGTCATATAATAAAGACATTCGTTTAATTTGCATACAAGCAATCAGGGCTGTCAATCCCATGACATAATCACTGTTTTATTTTAAGCCTTTGCTCAGGTGACAGATAATGAAAACCGTGTTACTTTGAGCATTACATATTTAACATCCAGCCTCATTATCCACACCTTCGTGCAGTCGATGGAATACTCAATACCGTATGTCCGGGCAAGGCCAAATTCTCATCAGAGGTAGTAATTATATAGATTAGAAGAAGAACTCTAGAAGAAGAGAAAGGGGCACATATTGCAAGTGTTTGGAGAAGACACGAGGGGTCATTCCCCATAGGGTACAGTAACTTTCATCTCTAAATTGGTGGGAACAGTATGGTGTCAGTCAGCCATTAAACTGATCCATGTGTTACGCACTTTAACACCTGAAATACCTGATCAAAGTTAACATACTGACGATGTGTTTTTAATCGTTGTGTAATAATATTAATAAACATGCACACCATGAATTATAAAAAAGTAAATTATTACCCTATTTATTATTATATTACTCTTTTTAAATCCTATCTTTATGCCTTTTTCACACCTTTTGTTTCTTTTATATTCCTCTTTTAATTCCTTGTAATGTTTCATATAAAGTGCTAGTTTTTGATTATGTAATAATACAAATAAACAGCCCAATGAACCCATGTGACCCCTTCATGTTTAAATAATGACTCTTTGAATGGCAGATTTAAAACGATGTCATTTAGGGTTAAGGATTGAAAGGCATCTTTCATATTGAGGCTCAACAGCTGCCGTCTAACGCTGCTTTATCTCATACTGATAACGTGTGAGTGTTGTCGGCTGCACTGATCCTCCACTATTTTGCATGCATGATGGACAAATGGACTTTAGGAAGCAGATGTTTATCTCTGCTGATGTTACATGATAGATTACAGTGCCAAACACTTCCTTTGTACCACAGAGAGATATATTTTCATATCAAACCAGCCTGCAATAAAAAACGTCACATGTGATGTAGGTATTTACATGCCACTAAATTAGACAGGTAAGCTTAAATAATGTGACTGCTGTGTCGACATGTAATCATTTACTCTTTCCTGAATCATTAAACTCCAACAGCTTTCTTTATGTTACACACTTCTGCTTGCACTACATTCAAGAGGTTTATTTAGTTTACTGTTATTCTAACTGTAGAGATGATGTATTGGTTTACTACTCCGTCTGCTCTTTTCTAACCCTATTCCCACATGGAAGTGGAAATGGAGATTTCAGGCCAAATGAAACACTGCCAGGAGACGTTTTGTAAGTGTTGTTGTGTTACATCCCGTTTCTAAAAAGAGAATTCAGCTTTGAGACGAATGAGTCACCCTGTAAAAAAAGTGAGAGCCTCGAGCAGAGACTGCCAATTGTGAAGACACACAGAGAAACTAAACAAAGAGAGTGTCGGAAAAACATTTTTGTTTGCTATGTTTCATTACTGGAAACCAAATAGACCCTTCACAGCTAAACATAATGTTATTGGCAGCCTTTTTCTAACCTGGAAAATTGAGAAAAAGCTTCTTAACATACATATAAGAAGTCTCAGACAACATATAAGCCAGCGTGGGTTCTCTTCTACTCTTTATAGCTTCACCCTTGATTGCCTTATCCGGAACTGACTCGTGTATTATTGCCCTGAGAGAGCTCTCTGCCGTCATTACATTAAACATCTACAAAACCTTCACAAATACCTTTTCCTTTTGCTACATAACAGACCCCGCATCTATAATGCATTCTCCATTAGCCTGTTCTTTATGTCAGATACCTGCTTCCAATTATTTTTGCCCTTCCTCTACACAGTAATTATCTCTGCTGTCTGCCTTGTCATTCACCCCACACAGAGTGAACAGCCAGTACAGTCATTAGTGGGGCAGCAGCGCTGAAAACCTTCGCTTTCTACCGCCCACACTGTGTCTGACTGAAAGAAGTCCATGAAAAAGCCCATTATATAGAAACACATTAGGAAGAAAGGTACATGTGCTTATTTTTGGTATTTGACTATCCAGTTTTTAAGGCTGTAGCACCATCTCTGCAGTGTTTCTTTGACATCATGTTGCTTAATGTTTAGTTGTTTACATCAGTATAAATTCACCCTCTAATTAGCTCCAGGTAAAGAAGATCAGCAACATGAATAATCTTTTACTGAACAAGTATAAGCATAACAAAATACAGAAATCACTTCAATGTAACAATGATATGAATATAATCCCAAACGCTAATTTGAAGCCAGCTGGGTTAGCAAGATTCACATCTACTGAACATTGAAATATTAAAGCATGAGCTGTTTGCAGATTGGCTCCTAAAGGCCTCACAGGTTAATCACACATGAAGGGAAGCAGTAACCAACTTTTAGGTGGATTAAACTTGACAAAAAGTCATATTCTTTACCAGTCACAGAAAATGACATTATAAAATATACTCACTGGTCTTTCATGATCCATAATGGAGGACTTCCCAGGCTCGTATTCAAAAATACTCTTAGGCTCTGCACGATACTTTCGAGTATCCACTTTCCTGTCGGGAGGACCCCACTGATTCCTGGTGCAAGAAAAACAGAAAAGTGTTTATTAGAAAACAGACAAAAAGTTATTTAATCATTTACCAATATAGTTGATCACAAATGTTTTAGATTAAACTGTCTAAAATAAATATAACTATTACATAAACATAGTTAATCCATTCAATTGATTAATTCATGTACATGAAAAGAGGAGATTTAAATTGCTTAGATAATAATAAATGTAATAAATTAAGTAGTAGAGAAAAAGCTCCTCTTACGTGTCGGGCGAGTCTCTCTCACGGTCACTGTCTCTGGCCCTCAGTTGGAGGAGGGATGGCATGGATGGAGGTGGGGGGGGTACAGGGGATGGCGAGGGCTCCCGAGGGCCCAGATGCCCTCCATTGTCCGAGGGGCTTTTGGCGAGTGGCCTGTACGTGTGTGTTCGGGGAGCGGGGTGGGCCATGGTGGTGCCGGACGACAGGCTGTAGTCATCTGTTAAGGAAAGAACGGAGGAGATAATGAAAAGGTGAAGCAAAGAGGTAAACCCAGCCAGAAAGGAGATGTGGTAGGTACAGTAGGAATGATTTATTGAATGAGACACTACTTTAAATTATACGCAAGGCTTTTCTCACCATTGTTTATGACAGCGTATGTTGCATTGTACGTGTCAGAATAGTCATCATCTGTAGAACAAAAGAAGAATGATTTATTGGGATACAAGCACAAACACACTTTACAGTCCAGTGTGTTGTTTCCTCTCCTGGGAGAACACCACTTTTAGTCAGCTTGAATACAGTCAGTTGCAAAGTCATTTCCAATAGTGAACATTTTTCACAGGGGAGAGCATTATCAAAATCACCCAAGCAGCAAAAAAAACTTTTCCTCTGTTTATCCACAAGCTTAGGATGACACCAAAACCATTTTATTTTAATCCAGTATGGCTTTTTATTTTTGATTTGCGAAGGGTCATTACACCCAACAGAATCAGTAGCTTGAACCATATCTTTATATAACTATGAGTATTAGTGGCTGTTTTTCCCAGACTTCTAAGTCCACAGGGGGTTTCTCAAAAGATAAGACATTGCTGGGAATGTAATATTGCTAAATACATGAACTGAGAATATGTGAATAAACAAAGTCATGGTAACACTGCAAGATAATCAAAGGCCTGTGTATGTTTTTGTAGGCCATAATGACACATTGTGTGTGTGCTGCAGCAGAAGAAGCATGAGAAGATTAGAACAAACAAGCTTTGAACTGACTGTGTGATACGGTCGAGCCCATCAAATTACAACAGATTTCCCAGGATAGCTGTGTCTATTAGAGGTTTCTCTCAAATCCTCCTCCTCCTCCTCCTCCTCCTCTCCAGACATTCTTGCTCTCATCTAATGAGTTCTGGCTCGGAGCAGCTCTGGGTCTTTTTGGCTTAACAAGAATCGACAGACACACAAATATACACACACGCGCGTATACCCATCATGCATGCTTGGCTGATGTTCGAATCACATCAATAATGAGACATTTCTTACCTGCTTTGTGAACCTTGTGGATCTGTTTGAACATAGTTTTGTACCAATCCTTCGGCCTATCCACCGTCTGCGGAGAGAGAAATAATCATAAAGATTGATGAGACGCGATGATAGCTGAAGTTAGAAAGGTTGCAACTGTTTTATGGGACGGAGAACTTATCGAGTATAGAAAATCACACTCAGCCTTTTTAGAGAACCATATTTCAGTCCCAGAGAATTTAACGTATGCTGAGACATGAATCCATTTCTTAAGATTTATCCTTTGAGACACTTTCCATACGATTTCAGGATGATAACATCTCCTTTTTACTTATTAACGATAAATAACCTTGTAAAAACTCATTTATATCTGGCTGTTTAATTAATTACAAGGTATGTGCTCTTAATTTGTCTGAGTAAGATATTTAGTTGAATTATTTTACAGCTAATAAGAAACAATGAACAGCATGATTCTCACACTCACATCCAATCCATTACAGATAAATGACAGTGAAATGAAAAATAGCTTTCCCTAGTTCCAATTCTATGTCCCTGGGTTAATTGCATATTCATCACAAGGATTTTCCATTTTGAGGTATTTTTTAATCAAAATCCTTTCCTATTCTATTCCAGTAAAAAGATTAAAAAAAACGTGTGATAAATTATCTTGAACTCTAGACATAAAACTAATTTCAATTACAGTTGTAGCTGGGAGTTTAAGCATAATATATAAAACCACACTTGACTATGAGCATGTAAGTTGTGTTAGCTAGCAGAATGTTAAATAGTAGGATGTGTGTTTGGAAAATAACATTTGTAAAGAATGTGGTTGGCGTCCAACTTCTCCTGATAAGGTGCAGACGTGGTGGGAGTAGCTAGAGGCAAACAGTACTGTGCAGCTCCATATCGTTTCATATTTTCTAGACCAGGCCTATTTTGGAGCAATCAAATCAAACCTTTGGGATTTTTTTTCAATCTCTCTTGTAGATATAACTTCGTCTACAAATCCTTGCTTAGAAATAGCTCACATTAGACAACATAAAGACTCTAACTTCTGTTTCACTGTGAGTTCTCGTGAGTCATTTTATCATTTTCCAACTAAAGGAAAGGTTTTTCATCATAATGTGTTGAGTGGGTATTTCAGCTTTTAAACCTACTCACAAACAATTACCAGAAAATCTAAACAAAGCCAATAAAACCCAAAACAATATGACAGTGCCAATAGGAATTTGGTAAACTCCATTTTTGTTAATGTTAAGGCGATTGTGCCTATTCTCAGAAATCAACGTGAGCAGGTTTGGTTTCAAATAGAGGATACAGAGGCCATGTTGCTACAAAACCAAAGTGGGAGCTCCGGGCTGTAAAATCCAGGGGAACCCGTGGTATGTGTGTCTTTGTGCATACAGGATAGATCTAAAAGCAACTTCAAAAAAGAGCTATCAAATGGCAGAGAGACTTAATCCTCCCTTTATTCAGTGGCACTAAACCCAGCGCCTGGACTCTGGTCAGAGACGAGGCAGGTTGGCTCCACAGTGAAGGAGTGTGTGTGACTGAGCATGTAGCACTGGCACGGCCAACAGACGGCCCAATTACCACTTCACTCTCCATGGCTACCGAATAAAGTGCCTGCAAAAATGTTGGTCTGCTCACAACAAGAAGCATCTGTTTTTCTTCTTTTCAGCTTTTTTTTCTCTTCACCTTTTCACTTCACTTTATTGGCTGTCTCTCATTCTTCCTGTTACTTTCTCTGGCTCACTCATTCTGTAGTTGAACATGTCGGCCTTTAAATGCATGCTCTTCAAAAAATGGATAACTAAGTGAAGTGTTAATACAGGAAAAGCCTGAACAAAGATAACACGCAGACAGACACTTTGACAAGTAAGCAGCAAGGACCCTGCGGTGCTTAAGCAAAGACCTTGTCTGAGCTCAACATTATATCACAGAGGGAAGAAGAGAGACTCTCAGAGATGGTGAGGAGAGAGAAAGGGCTTTTTATATTGGGGGAAAATATGCTGACAGCTGAAGGTATTCAACTCTGGTGAGCCTGATCGCATATCAAGATTCAAGTCAGGGGAAATAGCTCAAAAATACTACAGTACCTAACGGAGTCGTTCTACTGCACACTAATGTGCTTATCCCTGCAAGTGTTCGACCTCACCGTGCGGATGGCGATAGGGATGCCAGAGTCGTCCACAGGGCCGATGCCTTCATAATGAGGGGCTTTAATAACGGACACCTTTTTCTCCTCTTCTGTGAAGCGGGCGATGGGCACCATGCTGCTGACACTGGTGTGGCCCAGCACCACAGACTCCCTGTGAAATGACTCGCTGCCCTCTGGATAGGAGGAGAGTAAAGAGAAGACACAGTGTAAGTTGTAACTACATAGTAAGTGAATTAGCCAAGAAAGGGCACGAACACAAGCAAACACTGAAGTATTCTGATATTAACTGCTCTGTTTTATGCCTCGAGATGAAATAGTACTAAAAACATGTATTTCTTTGTTTAATTTGATCTGTCCCCCACAACTGAATGGTTCTGTCTTCTCCTAACAGGTGTACAGGGGTCTTATCTCAGGCTTTTAACAGATAGATTAACCTTAAGATCCACCAACCATTGAATTGAGTAGGCAATAATAAGGAGATTAATTATAAGGTCCTTAAAAGATTTACACATTCTTGAAATTCTAAGCACTTCAACTATTCAGAGCAGGTTTAATATTTGTGTAAGGCTTTTATATGCTGTATATAAGAGTGTCTGTGTATGTAATTGTTCTAAGGGAAAGCAGCAGGTACTCATTTCAAATTAAAAAGCATAATGACTCCCCTTATCATGCATGTTGATGATTTTTGCATGTCATACTGTCGAACTGTGACTCACCTGAACTCCTGCTCTGTCTCTGGAGCCCAGTGTGGAAGGAGGTGGGGGGAGGGGGATAAGAGGGAGGAGACACGGGCCTCCGAGGAGCACTTCCATTCATAGCATAAGAGAGGACCTGGCCCTAGGAGTGATCCACAAGCCAGAAACAGAGATAGTCACTATCAATCACACATGGCAGCAAAATGTACACATTTCCGTTCATAGTGTGAAATGTTGCTGTTCTGACCTCCAAGATTCGATAATGAGTGAAAATATAGAAGAATAAAATTAAAAACAAGAGAATGTTAGTTTTATAAATCCATTATTTCATCATATTGTTATAAATCTTAACATTAAAAAGGGGTAGAGGAGCCTATTATGGAAATCAGTGTATATGTAGACAGATATTAGGACTGGTAGGATTCAGGAATTTCTGAATCTGAAGAGACTGTACAATGAAGGAACAGTTAGTTAGTGACAGTGAGGGAAAGGGGCACCTTTGAACCACTTCACTTTAAAACAGACAGAAGGGATTAAAAAGGTGGCGATAAGCAGACAAGTCTTTCAGATTCACATTCATTTCATTTTAAATTAGTAAAAGACAATGGACACAATGGGAAGCTTTTCTGAAAAATGCTCTCCCATTGAACACGGGAACATTTGATTTCATCTGACAAAAGGATACAAATAAAGCGTTATTAATTTTAAGGCCAGTGTGCTAAAATCAAAGAATCATTATCACTCTCAAAAACGGTGACAAGAAAACAATTTTAAACCAAGAGTATACATTTTGCCATTATAACTAGTAACGTATTTCTGAATCAATGATTGAATCTCAAGTTATGTTAAGTGTTGGTGTTGTTCTACATTTATGTTTTTTCTTGGATGTAGAAGCAACCAAGCCAGTTAGCCCATCTGTGAGTGGAGTAAAGGTTGGGAACAGCATCTGGTGAACAGAAACATATTTCTAGATGCGTCTCCCTTTAATGCACAAGGCTTGGAGTAAATAATGCAAGCAGTATGTCAACATGGTTATTCAGTGTCAATACGAAGTGTATTTCAAAGATTTACCATTCTGTGAACGGTCCTTTACATCTACTCACATGGGCAATCAAATGTAATACATTTAACAACAGTCATCTTGCACCTTCCATAATTAAATCAACAGCCAAATCTTCCAACTTCACCCTGCTATTACCTCTATTAAAAATGTTTTGATCTCATATTGAATTTTTGATTTGAACTGGCCTTGAGTGACAGAATAATTGCATCAGATTTAAAAACAAAAAGGCACAACGAAGAGAAACATAGACAAGCACATATATAGAGTTGTCCTAAGTGCAGACACATGAACATTATAGGGGAGCATTAGGCTGTAGAGTAGACGATGGTTAGTGAAAGGCAAAAACCGGTAGCAAAAGCACAATTCCTGAAAGATTGGTTCAGCCATCGAATTGTGTGAGGGGAGGAGGAAACGTTTTGTTTCTGTTAATAATGTGTGTTACAGCAGTGACTTGTTGGAATAATTACATTAGTAACAGCGTCTGTTGCAGCAGTGGAGGCCACAAAGGCTGTTAGCACATCATCAGGGCCAACAGTGGATGTGTAGGTGGAGACAAGGCTGAGCGTGGGCGATGGCGTGGGGGAGGCACCGGGGGAGTCCAGGCTACAGATCTGCAGCTCGTCCAGCAGGCCCGCCGTGGACGACGAGTAGTGGCTGAGAGCTGACACCGTCAAGGGGGAAGCCGAGGGCGACGCGCAGCCCCCGCCGATCATACCGCTGACCAATGGGAGGCTCGGCCTGCTGGCTGCACCCGCTCCACTAGCAACATACGGGCTGGGTGACAGAGCCTTGGGCATTAGGCCTGGCAGGTAGTCCAGTGACTCTGAGCTGTGGCAGCGAAAGGGGGAGTGCCGGGCTGTGGGGTCAGGGGAGGGAGGCCCCTGGTGTTGGAGGGAGAGGGAGTTGTTTGGAAAAAGAGGAAAGGAGGAGAAGGGCTTAGTGACATCACTCATTAACCACGCTGTCACAGAGGACGTGTGGAAGAAACACGTGAGCCTAACAGAAGGCGATATGCTGCAGTGAAACCACACTGTCATGAAGCTGCAGCTGCATCTCCTGAAACATGGTTAATGCTGTGATAGGCGGTTAGTTCAATCTCTGTGAAGGGCATTAAATACAGTAAACAGAAAGCAACAGGGGTACATAATAATTAAAACAGTTGGTTATCACACATGTGTAGATCCACAATTATTTTGGATGTTTGGATGGCAGCACCAATACTAACAAAATAAACAGCATCACACATAAGCATTATATGAAGACGATATAAAGTCCTGCATTTCTTGTTGTCTATGTAAGGCCCAACACTATGAACAACACTGTCATACTTCTCAGTGTTTGTATGCTTCAGAACAAAAGAAAAACCACACTTATTTTAATTTTTAGCCTCTTAATTCAACCCCTCCTGGCCAAAGTAAACAGGCGGTTTTGTATTATATTGAACTTAAAACAGACACAACCGTTTCTCTCTTTTGTTTTGTTGTTACACTATATAGTCAGTTATGTACCAACAGTTCTGCAGGAGAAGGTCTTGGTGGAACGGCAGGAGGACTCTTCGTTATCTCCACCTGGGATGGAGATGGACTCAGGGTTTGATTTGGGGCTTGATCTGGGACCCTGGGCTCTGCTGTGTAGTTTGGAGGCTCCGGATGCTTCAGATCCTCAGAGTCGGTGTGGACAGAGAGCGATCCTGCTGGTGTTAGGGTAGGATCTGTTTTAGGTGGGAGGGGAACCTGTGGGCTGGGTTTTAGGTTGGGGGTCAAGGTGAGAGTTGAGGTGAGCTGGGGGGTCAGCGAAGGTGACAGGGGTTATTCTGAGGGAAGACACCTTACGCTTCTGGGCCTGCGTGTTAGTGGTGACAGATGCACTACCGTTTGTAACCTCATGTGCTACAGTGGACTGTTGTGACTTTTGGACTGAGTTTGCATTGGTCTCCGAGTAAGAATAAGAGGATGTGGTATTAATAGTGAAGGACTCTTTTAAAACTCCTTTCTCATTGTGCTTAAATGTAAGCATTCCAGTGCTGAAGTCATCAGGCAGGGCAACAGCGGAGCGATAGTCTGGCGGATTAGTACCAGTGGGGGAGAAGTGTAAACTCTCTTTTCTTGGGGGAGGCAATGGAACGTGATCATTATCATTATCCATATTGACCTATTACAAAGCAGCAGCCAATGTAAGTTCAAACAACAACAGAGAAAAATCATCAATGCAAAGCTTGATACAAATAATTTTCCATATTCCACATAAATCTCAGTGTAAATTATCCATAATTACGTTAGTTTGTGGGGTCACAGACCACGGTTTTGATTTAAATAGCTTTAAAAGATGGTACAAACAGAAATGCTAACATCTGTCTGTGTGATGTGTGAGACCTTTTACCTGTGTTGGAGACTTTTTGTCCTGCAGGTTGGGTCTGACACTGCGGAAGCCTTTGGCAGCTAGAGACGAGTTGCTGGTGTCTCCATTCTTAAGGCCATCTGTTACACTTCGGGACCGCCAAGAATCTGGAGATAACATTAATAATATTACCATGACAAACTGCATTGATTAGCAATTCTGGTATTTCTCAAAAAAGCATCACATTCACTACAAAAGAACAGCAACTTACCCAAGTCTGACAAGTGACACTCACTCTCTGGGGATAGAGAAGACACAGCAACAATAAGTGACATGATTGGATGTGTGGTCAACAAATGTCAAAATATACTGCATAGGGTTTCTACTAAAGTAGTCATGATCTCACAATGGTTGGGAATGTTTAGTATGAGAAAGAGAAACTTTATGTTAGGGCTAAGTGAGAAAACAGAGATCTGAAAATAAACAAATAGAAGAGGTAAAAGAGTACACATCTTCTTGAAGGATTACATGACTCATTCTGATGAGATACACCATTTCATCTTCAGCTTTTCCATCATAATCTCAAGACGGATAGTGAAAATAAAGGAATTCACAGGCCACAGACATTACAGATTTGTAAAATGAGAACCCTCACAGCGTTAAAACTATCCATTAAATACATACTAGGGCTGAACGATATATTGTGTCATGGCGATAACCGCGATATGCGAATGCGCGACATTCACATCGCAGGGACGTGGGATTTTATAAAAAAAAAAAAATTCTTTCATTTTTTTTTTTTAGGACGTGCGATATTAAGTACCGTAGGTAAATTAACTTAAACACGTCATGTTACAACTATTTTGCTGCTTGCTACAAAAGGAAAAGTTGCACGGCCATCATGTCAGGGGTACTTGAGTGAGTGACATGCAGGCTCTGCATGCACAGCAACCCACCAATCACAATCATTCTTGATCAGATCCCAACAGGCCCCGCCCTGCTAGTTTGCAGACCATCAACACACCGGTAAAAAATGAGCGAGGCAAAGGAGGACAATACCGGCGAGAATGAAGATTTACTTCCAAAAAGAAAAGCAACATCTGCCATCTGGAACTATTTTGGATCCAAAAAGGTTCTTCTCTTCTTCATTCACAAATGAACCCCCTTATTTGAGGGTAAGCAACATGCATTATCATGACATGTTAGATCATGACTTAAGGTATGATGAATCAACCAGTTAAGATCCAGACGTCCTTGACTAAAATCCTGCATCCGGTTAAATATAGTTAATATATATCGCAGGGGAAAAAATATCGCAATGTCATTTTTTTTCAATATCGTGCAGCCCTAATACATACACTATTGTTTGGGAGTAGGCTTTTTTCAGAGGTTGCTCTTTATGTGCATGTGGTCTACCACATGTTCCATCAGTATCTGGCCCAATACAGAAATTACAAATAGGACTGTGTACATTAAAAAGAGATGAAGGAGAAGTGGCTTAGGCATTTCATTTGCACATTCAGGACATTGATATACTCCCCAGGACTAATTAGAAAGACAAATCCTCCAGGCAACACTACATGGTGAGGCTCCATTATTGAACATAAAGATTAAAAAATTATCCACACCANTTTGTGTCAACCACAGACCTTATTCCGAGCTATTTTCCAAAACCCTACGGAGAAAATGCATTGCTTTTTGAGGAAGGAACCGGAAGTGCTAAAAATGCTAACTTACTTCCGGGTTTTAGGACGCGTCACTGCGGTTCTCTATGAGAATGGGGGAGAGACGGGCCGGCAGCAACACACAACAAAGAATTTCCGAAACTAAACGAAGTGTTTTTATTTATTTATTAAAATGATAACTACAATTTGAAAAAACAGGGGAAGCCTGGCTTCCCTTGGCCTCCAGGAGAAAACACCACTGTGTGTTGGTAAGGGAATACATTTGTCTATTTTGTATCCTGATGACCTAATGCCGTTACATGTAATACGTTACTCCCTAAAGCTGATTTCACCCACCTGCAACCGATTCACTAATAATCACAAATGTTCATTTCTATGACCCCTTGAGACTATTTCTTGTTTAATAATCGTTACATCTCCTCAGGACCAAGTTCCTGTGTCCTGCCTTTCACCTGCTGATCACCCACTGCTCATTTAAGGTGGACTGACCTTTACAAGGGACCAGCTAGTCTTAGTGTCTTAAAGGTCCCATGTCATGCTTTTCCGGTTATTACCCGTCCCCCTGTGTGTTATGCAGGTTTTTCTGTATGTAAACGGTCTGCAGAGTCAAAACCCTCAAAGTACACCCGGTAGCGAGTAAAACTCTAACACAGAAAACGCCTCGTTGGTGAAACGTCATCATCCATTTGATTCTTCCGGGTACGTGCTTACGAAAGCACGTACCCGAAACTAAATGGGCCAATCCGTGGAGCCGTTACGTTACGTCCGCGGAGCCGTTACGTTAAGCCCCCGCTGATTGGTCCAAATTGACCAAT